AAAGCCATTAAGGATCAGTGGAACACGGAAAGGTCAGCCCTTTTAAAGTTTCCAAAGGGAAAGGCCAGCTTCAGGATTGCCTTATCAACCTGAAAAGCTCTTGCTGTCCTGGGAAGCTGTTTCTTTGCAGACTGGTGGAGGCTCATGCAACCCGAAAACAGGATTTGAAAATGATAACTGCCCTCAATCCTTGGAAGAATACTAAGAGTGAAAAAACAGTGTCCATCTTCCCTGCTAACGCAATGGAAAGAACTCCCAAGGTCAGAAATGTTTGGGAGTCAGAATAGGGCCCAGTTCTCCCATTTAGAAAGAATTATGAAGATAGGGCATTTAAATTCCATTTGGAGATGTAGCTTACCAAGTTGAGCCATGACCCTTAACGTCTTTAGGTGCTTTATCGAACGCAACTGGCGTCTGAAGTGTCAGCAGTGTCGAGTTCTGCAGAGACGAATGAATGCCAGGCAGGATGAACACCTAACCTTCAGTTTTCCTGCTATTGCCAGAGTACTTCGTGTTGGAGGCACTATTGTATTGCTGCTGAGCCAAGATCTCCGTAAGCGCATGGATAGCATTACCAAGTGTGCTGAAAATGTGTCTCCTAATGCTATTTCTGACGGTGCAAGTGAAACCGCCACTGCAAGAGCCCTGAATATTGATGGGAATTCTTCCTCCTTGGGGAACGGTGTTGAAGAATCCTTTCTGAGCAGCCGACAGAGGCGTTTTGGGTCTCTGGTGCCAGATGGCGTCTATGGGGTTAGTCTGGGAAAGACCGATGCTTTCATATACAAATACAGGAAGATCTCTACTGCTGGGAATCAGCAGCTTTCTTGCACTGTGCCTAAGCGAACTTGAATCCTGCTACACTTGAAAAGCAGCATGGCAGTGATCTGATGGAACCCTGCTGATCCGAACGAACCCTGTGCCATTTGTTAGCTCACCTCACTTTCTTTGGATGTCCAAAGGTGTTGCTTTTTGGTTTTTAGGAGAGGTGGAAGATGCTTACTAGTGTTTCAGATGTTTTTACTGTAAAATATTGTAATGAGACAGAGCCCTCAGATCCTTGTTTAGGCAAAGCCTCTCAGTATCAGGAGGAGTTTTCTTTGGGAGAGAAAGACTTCATTTGCAGAACTGCAAAAACAAATGTGGTAACATTAACTGTAAATGGATTTTCACCTTCAGCAATGTTTTTAGGAAGCACATCTTGTCTGAAGAAGTCCCCAGCTCTTTTTGAGGCCTGAATGTTTGCTTTACCATGTGCCTTGCAGTATTACTTTAAAGCTCGTTTCTGATGAGTTTGAAATGTCGCTATTGAGATCGCTTGGAGTAGAAAGTAAACTATTTTCTGTACTAATTCTTTGCAGTGTTTGCATGTGTCTGATGGGTATGCTTTAGGTTTTTAGGGTGAAGAGACTTATTTCTATCAAAAATAACGCTTTTCCTCATTTGATAATGTTACTCCAAAGGCACAATGTGGAAGATGGAAAAGCTTGCCAAGTGGATGAACAATTAAATGTGACTTCTGCCTGCAAAGAAGCATATGGAAAAATTCTCCTGAAAAGAGAGAGGTCTTAGCAGTTCTTTTAGTCTATGCAGAAGGTATTTGGAGGAGGACGAATAGTCTAATTCAAAGATTTCCCATGGCTGCTGAGCTGACAGGGAAGTATTTTTAGAGGGAATGACTGCAAATTGCTTTCAGATGTTATTTTGGACAAGCATTTGCAACTTGGCAAGCTGGGATGGACTCGTGCATTGTGTTCCTCTGCCGTGATTAGTACAGAGATACGATTAGTAGTGTGTCTGTGGTTTGGGGTGGGTTGGTTTTTGGTTTTTTTTTGCTTGGGTTTTTTTTTCTTGATTCTGACAAGGTGCTTTGGCTGGATAAGGGAGGAGACTTTAATCTTAAGGCTAATTGTATTTCAAGGGACTAAAACTTACTGTTGTTGAGAACTGCTTGTGGAGCCCCCTCCCCCTGTGTTGGGCAGCCCCCCCCCCCCCCCCCCCGACTTTATACAAAGCTGAGGTGTCTTTTTATTACAGTTGTTATGCCTGTGGGAAGGGGCCTCCGGTGGCCTCCAGCCTCCCCGTTGGAGCAGGCCTATTGCCAATGCTAGATCACGTTGTCTAGCCAAGTCTTAAACCTCCAAGGATGGAGATCTCTGCCTCTCTGGTTACGTGTCCCAGGGGACACCACCCTCCTGGGGGAGAAGCTTTCCTTATGTGTGAGCCTCCCAAGCTGCAATCTGTGGCTATTGTCCCTCACTGCATTGTCTGACGCTGCAGGAGTTTGGCTGTCTCATGTCTATAACTGCCTTTCAAGCAGTCACGGGCTCCTGGTAGATGCCCCCTCTGCCTCCTTTTCACCAGACCACTCAAGCCCAGCTCCCTCCCCTCACAGGTACTGTGCTTTAGGCCCCTAACCATTTTTGCAGCCTCTGTTGGCCCCTCTCCTGTTTTCCTACATCCCTCCTGAACTGGGGGACCTAACACTGGACACAAATCCCGGTGAGGCCTCACCAGCCCTGAACAGAGGGTAAAAATCACTCTTCTGGCTCTGCTAGCTATGTGACTCCTAGTGTAGCCTGTTTGTCTTACCTGCAATGGGAACATGCTTCTGGCTAATGGTCAGCCTGTTATCTGCTGTAACCCCAAGCTCTTCTCAGCAGGGCAGCTGCCCAGCTTGAATCTCCCAGCCTGGCTGAATGCACAGGGCTGTGTCACCCCACACGCAGAGCTCTACTCATCTCCTCCTTGAACACCACAAGGTGCTACTTCTCAAGTTGACTGAGGCCCCTCTGGGCAGAAGTTCTGCCGTTCATTATGGTAGCCACCCCCACAGTTTAGTGTCACCCATGGCTATTTGTGCTCTTCACCTGAGGTGGAATCAAGTTAAACCTTCTTGGTGTTATAGTAGATGTATAAACCATTTGGAGAGACTATTTCTGCCTTGATCTGTGTATGACAAGGCAACCACATAAATGTATGAGCTGACTCCAACAGGACCTAACTGTTCGCTGAGAAACACTGCTCTGTGCTCAGTGGTGAAGCCAAGCACAGAAATGCAGGGAAGGCTGGCCCCAAAGCTGTGCTTAGTGCTGATGCTGGTTTCTCCTGCCATTGCTTCCTGGCATCTTGATTGCTCTAAGATCAATTAATTGATCTGTTGGGTTTTCATCTACTTTGTATGATTGTGTTTCTTAGCCTAATTTGGCCCTGACTTTTTCTGCTGTTGTTTAATTGTTGGTTAGTGCATTAAGGCAATACTTCTCTGTTCTACCACCGTTGCCTCTCACCTCCCCTGACTTCCTCTCCCATCCCTTTGCCCTTCAACCAACCTTTCTCTCAAATCTCCCTTCTTCCCAGCCCTACGCTCACAGTAGTCTGTACCTGACCCTTTCCCCCCCCACCATTCCCTTTTGTGTTCACCTTGTACCATCCACCCTTACAGCAGAATTGGCTTCTCTGATCGCTCTGCTCCATCAGCAGTGTCTGCTCCGTTCCTGACAGAGCCTGTGCCCTCTGCAAGGCAGCCTGGGGCACCTTCCAGGGGCCTGGCCAACTTTTTCCCTGTGCCCCGCAGGTGTGAAACACTGCTCTGGCAATGAATGTATGGATGCCGTGCATCAAGGGCAACACTGGCTTTTAGGTGATGGCAGAGGATTGTAGCTTTGGATGAGTCGTGACAGATACATCAACATAGCACTGAAGTCTATGAATGTCAGCTCATATGAAGTACAGAACATACAATTGGATATATATACAATTTCAGATGTTATTTTGGACAAGCATTTGCATGATGTATATACAAACGGATAACAATCCGTTACTTATATGAAGCACATAAACTGGGGGAAAGCTGGCCGGGGGGGCCGCTGCTCAGGGACTGGCTGGGCGTCGGTCGGCGGGTGGTGAGCAATTGTACTGTGCATCACTTGCTTTGTGTATTTATTATTATTATTATTATTACATTAGTATTATTATTATTGTTGTTATTTTATTTCAATTATTAAACTGTTTTTATCTCAACCCACAAGTTTTTCTCACTTCTACTCTTCCAATTCTCTCCCCCATCGCACCAGGGTTGGGGGGGAGTGAGCGAGCGCCTGTGTGGTGCTCAGTTGCTGACTGAGGTTAAACCTCGACACTGATAGATCAGTGTGGTGCTCTCATCTGTTAACTCGCATGTCCGTGCCATTAAGTGCTGGAAAATGCAAAGCCACTCCCCTTCTGACATCTCCCCATTGCTGTGAAATTGCAGTTGACACAAATGCTTTTGACAGAAGTAGGTATTTTACTACAGATACTGTAGCTTGACAAATGCCTCATAACCCAGAGACCATCCAGGAATGAACAGGAGTAATTTAATCCTTCTCACAGTGTAGCTCAGGTGCTCAGAATGGAAATCTTGGTTATTTACAAATTACACAGGAACTTCATGTACGAAGGATACACAAAGAGACATAGGCATGCACTGATTTAAAAGAAAAAGGTCTGTTTGGGCATTTTGGGAGGAGAGGGGCACCAAAGCCTTCCTTTAGGTTCAAGTGCAGAAGGTGCTGAATTAAAACATTACAGATGATGCCCTGGGGAAGGGTGTATAATTCTGACTAGGATTCATTTGGCAACAGTGACTTTTCCTTAATTTCTTTATGTACAGATCCTTGAAAAATAGAAATAGGCCTAAATTCTTACAGCAACTTTCCTCCCCCTTTTACCTTCCAGTGCAAATATCTTCCTCTGCATGGACTTGGCGTGCTGAACTGAAGCATCTGATCCTGAGCCATCTCTGTCCTCTGAGAGCTGTCTCCTTTTCAAATCTCTCTGCTGGGCAGCATGAGAGAACAGCTTGCTGAACCAGTAAAACACGACGGTCAGATTTTGAAGAATCAGGCTTTGGTGCTTGGAATCCTGAGTTTAGTTTTCCCTTCACTTCTGCTTCTTCAAGTAAATCCTGAAAAATACTGTTCAGCCATCACTGAAGGGTGTTGGTGGCAGGTGGGCAGTCATATGGAGGAGTCTCTGGTGGACTTTAGCTGCATAATGTTGCCTCTGCTAACAAACGGGAAAGCTGTGCAAAGATACCCGGCTGCTACTGTAAATCCCAGACTACAAGCACAAAATACAAGCTACCTATATCCATATTCTACATCATTGGGAAGGTTATAGATGAATGTAGGGAGGTGGTTTAGTCATATGATATGCTGGCTGCATAGGTACACAGAGATATAGTGCAAAATATTCCTGTAAATGAAATAATCATGTTGTTATTTTGAGATGTAGCATAGCGTGACTAACAAAATCAATGTTAGGCATTACTAATCAAATAGCTTGCACCCCGCTTTGTTGGTATAAGTTATCTTGGGTAGCACACAGGTGATAGTTACCAGCATTCATAAAGTTTTCATGTATTACCCAGTTACGCAAGGCTAAGCCCTAGCTCTGTGGTTGTGAATTGCATCCAGCAAACTTCTTGGTTGCTACTTTTAAGAATAAGGGAGTCTTCTCTCTGATTTTGGTTGTGCCTGCTCTTCGAACAGAGCAAGGTAGCGAAAGCCTCCATCTCTGATCAGATCTGACCCACGGGACGCAATCACATCTTGCAAGCTGGCGTTGTGATGCCAAATCCCCTCTGTGGGAGCAGAGCCTGCTGCATGCGTCAGAGCAGCCAGGGGAAATTGGTTTGCGTGTGCTGCATGTAATCTGATCTGGAGATTATTGAGCAGGTCATCTACCTCTACAGGTGGCCCTCCACATACCGCTGCAGAGGAACCATTCAGGCTAAATCGCCCCCCAGCTCTCTGCCAACACCCTTCTCCAGCCTAGGGTTTCTTTAGAGTCACTTTCCCTTAAGCGTTTTTCATTAGGCTATGTTTTTCATTAAGCAGCTAAATTAGCCATGCACAATGAGCCTTTCCTCAGGCCTGTGTTTTCCAAATGTATTAAAAAAATATAGCTGTGCTGTGCATTACAGCTGCTCAAATCAAAATATTTCCTCTGGCACAAGAGAAGGTGTTGTGCTTAGCCTTGTGAGTTTGGATGGTTCAAACTCATGCTGGCTTCATGTTTGCAGAGTTTACCTTTCTTCCCCCTCTAAACAACCTCTAATTGTATGACTGAGACTTTTTTTTTTTTAAAGGATTCCCCTTTCCTACTTCAGTGTTAAAAGAAATATTTAGTCCACCGTCTGCAAGGACTGCAAACTGCAGCGAGGGACTGTTCTGTTCTGGAGAAGAGGGCGAGCACTTCATATGTAAAGAGGAGGGAGCAGTTGTTTTAGCCCCGTGGTCCTTTCCTACTGGTGCATGAGGCCTAGAGCATTTTTCACAGTTTTTTTGTTTCTAATTATTGGTTATTCCACTTGTATGAGTAAGTGACTCACTTCATGCAAGGCACAGTAAGTGGAGATCAGAAGGAAAGGCGTGCTCCACTTACTGGCAGCGCGTGCTGCCTACCTGAGGGAAACCTGGTGAAGCCTTCATCCATAATTAGCATGCTGGAATGACACGTTACTTGTTGTCAGGAACAGCAGACCTGCAACGTGCTGGGTGAGGCTTTCTTCCCAGAAGAAGCTGACTGCTGCCACGATGCACCCGCAGAAAAGAAGAGCTGCAGCCATGCCCAGGACTCTGGCCGTGATCCTTCCCAAGTCTGTTTCCACCAAACCCAAGAAATTAAGAGTGGGTGTTACCATGGACAAGCCTTCCAGCGCAGGAGAAAGTGGAGGGACACCTAGAAATAGCCATGAGTGCAGCTGGCCCATGCCAGGCAGATCCACAGTAGGAGTAATCCCAGACCTACAAGTGAGTACCTGCAAGTAGAAAGTGATCCTGTAGCAAGGCTGCTACAAATTAGCGGTTTTGTAGTTGTGCTATAAACTTCCCACTATCATATGAACATATAATCATACAGCTGAAGCTGTATGACCTTCAGGATGTGGGTGCAGCATGGTTTTATGCAGACACACCATGATACGTTCTTTGTTCTCTTATTTCCTTCTAGAGTTTAAAGTAACTTGGATGGACAGAAATGCTCCAGTTTCTAAATGCCTGGGAGTTTCCATGCAGACAGGTTCTGCCATAATTGTTTAGCACGTGGCTTCTGTCATCAGCTTCTGACACGTCTCCTGCTGGACCTTTTCCAATGACACCAGAACGCAGGTTTTCAAGCTGGTGTCTGCAGACCCCTAGAGAGGCGAGGGGAGAGGTGATCTGCCTGTGAAAGGTGGCTAAGAGCAGGTTGCATTCAACAAGCTTAAAAACCCTTGTGTGTGGTGTTCATGCTTTCCTGGACCAACCGTAGTGACCTGCAAGTGAAAATGAGGGTGAAAATTGCTGATGGCTGGGCCCCGGTGGGATCCTGCCTCCTCAGCCCCCTCCTCTGTAAACTAGCATCTCATTGCTGTGTTTTTCATGTGAAAGGGAGAGCACGAGCCGCGGGCCCTGCCAGGGAGGGGTGGGCCATGCTGAACACTTACGGAGTAGATGCCATTCATCCTGGTGGATCATCTTTGTCAGGTTGAAGGGGACATTGCGCAAGCATACCAGCTGAGAAAAGTGGTACTTGAAGGCAGTGCATCTCAGAGTGATGCCTTCCAGAGAGGAAGACGAGGCGTTCCCATACCAGGTAACCAAAAACAGCACTGTTGTCCCCTCCCAGTGCTGGGAATTACCCCCCTTTCCCACAGCTAGTCCTTGTCACCTGCCCTCGTCCTCCCCATCCTTTACCATCAGCTCAGCTCCTGCCCACCCTTTCTTCTCTAAGTAATCCGCTCTGCCCAGCTTCTCCCAGTACCAGCACCTGTGTCCTGGATCCTCTGGAGACCACCGACGGCCAGCAGCACTCGTAAAACATTATCTATTACACGGAAACCTGACTTCTTCCTTCCCCCTTGCCCCTTCCAAAAGGATACTGCTTCTCTCTAAAAGACACAGATGAGTATTTCCACACAGTCGTGTAGAAACATGGGGAAATGCTTACTACTGGGCTGCCAAGCAAAGGCAATCGGTGTTTTTCCTCTCACGCTATACTCATGCCTCTCCTGGCAAAGACAAAACCTTCCCAGAAAAGGACTGCGCTGCCGCAGGAGAAACAATGCTCTGACTAATGCAAAATCGCAGGCAGGAACCCTGCCTGCTGGGAACTGGCTATCGCTAATTTCTCCCAAGCAGCCTGTGCTGGCCGGTGGCAGCGCTGGCTGAGCCACAAAACTTGCAGGGGAGAGGGAAGGAGGGGGGAGATGGGCTGGACCTCACGCAGGCTTTAGTTTTTGCAAGAGGGGAGGGGGGAGGAAAAAAAAGGAAAAAGTGGTGCAGGGGTCTGGCGGGGTTCCAGTTGCTGCGCGCTGCACCACTGATCGGTATCCCCAAAGGGCCATCATCTGGCAAACGTGCCCTACCTCGTCCCTTGCAGCCATCGCTGCCCTGGGGCACCATTTCCCTAAAAAAAAGGCACTTTTGCCTTCCGCGTTCTTCGCAGAGCAAATGTCACTGGCACCTTGCTCCTCGGCGTGGCACCACGGAGGTGGCTACTTTAAAAGGCAGTCGGGCTGTGCAGCTGCTTACAGATAAACTAGGCACACAGTGCAAAGGGTCTCATCCTGCGTGGGTGCCCCTCCTTGATCCAGGGTGCTGGGTGCTTGGGAGGGTGGAGCTGGACTTGCTCAGCTGAATGGGGAGCAACCAGTAAAAGGCACCCCAGAACAGGTGGGAGTCGATGTGGAATGCCACAAAGGAAGTGGTACCCAAGAGATGCTGGCTGCGGACAGGAAGGGCTGGAGGACAGACAGCTGTTCTGAGGAGAGCATTAAAGAGGAAGAGAACATGGAAGAAGCCAAGTCTTCAGACTGTTGACATCATACTGAGAAGATTTTTTTTTTCTTTTTTCTGTGAAGCATAATGTAAAAGCCTCATGTTTGAGGAGAGGGGAAAAATGTCCAGGCTGCACTGCTGCTTTTTTTACACTCTTAGTCATCCATAAAAGTTTGAGGCTTAGCTCTTCTCCCTGGACATCAGGAGTGACTGCAACAGGAGTATACCAGTATGAGACTTGTGTACATGGGCCTCTGTCGTGGTTTAACCTCAGTCGGCAACTGAGCACCACAACAGCCACTCGCTCACTCCTCCCCAGTGGGACGGGGGAGAGAATTGGAAAAGTAAAAGTGAGAAAACTCATGGGTTGAGATAAAAAACAGTTTAATAATTGAAATAAAATGAAATAATACTACTACTAATAGTAATAATAATAAGAAGAATATACAAAGCAAGTGATGCATGATGCAGTTGCTCACACCCACTAACCGATGCCCAGCCAGTCCCCAAGCAGCGGCCCCCCCGGCCAGCTTTCCCCAGTTTATGTACTGAGCATGACATCACATGATATGGAATATCCCTTTGGCCAGTTTGGGTCAGCTGTCCTGGCTGTGCCCCCTCCCAGCTTCTTGTGCACCTCCAGCCTTCTCAGTCGGTAGAGCATGGGAAGCTGAAAAGGCCTTGACTAGTGTAAGCACTGCTTAGCAACAATTAAAACATCGGTGTGTTATCAACATTGTTCTCATACTAAATCCAAAACACAGCACTGTACCAGCTACTAGGAAGGAAATTAACTCTATCCCAGCCAAAAGCAGGACAGCCTCCCAAATCTAGAGCCAACTGGACCCTCTAAATTTAAACTTCCCTTCATACGCTTTCTTTGGGGCACAGCTTATGACCACAACCAACCTGCCCTAGGACTGACACAAACCACAGCTCTTCCCCTGACCAAGGCAGCCTTCAGCATTCCAGAAAACACTTGCCTGCCTCCATGTCTGATCCCACTGGGCTCTGTGGGTGCTCTGTGGCCCCTGTAAGGACACCCTCTCTCTTGCAGCAGCTCCAGTCCCATAAGCAAAAGGGACAGGCTGGCCCCAGGCCACACCTTCCCTCTGCAGCACTGGCAGATGCAGCGCCTCGCCCTTTTGTATGGCATGGAAAGATGCTGGAGGGGTGGGAAGAGGTCTCAAACTGCAGCAAATCGCTTTGGCATCACCTGACTGGAGCCAGCTGGAGCCTGCCAATGCGTGCTGGTGAAGGAGCCAGTGCTCCCGCTTCAAGCAGTGGCCAGGATTTAGGGCTGTCGAGCACGAAGTGGCATTTTGGATCTAAGCAGCAGCAGCAGGATGGATGGGTTACAGGTGCAGCTGGAAATAACAAGGCATCCAGCCTCAGCAAGGTATTTTCTGTGGCTGTGGGGTGCCACTGACTACAGCTGGGGCTCGTGATCCCTGGACGCACAGCAGTCAAATGTCACAGTGAATCCCCCACCATCACCAGAAGAACTTTTAAAGCAAGAGCATTGGCTGAACTGTCAAAAAAATGTTTTAACACCCAAATGCAGTTTTATTGAATTTGACCTTTCTGACTGGTGCTGAAAAGGAGCCCAGCCTGTCTCACTGCAGCATACGGCTCGACTGTCCTACCATAGCCATGTCTGAGGAATAGGAGGAAAAAAAGAAAGCTGAAGAAGTTGCCCCAAAGCTTGGGGAAGCAAATGATGCCCGATACCCATTTGATTTGACCTGTTTCTGAAGGTGGCAGAGGACACATCTCAGCTCCATCTGTCTCTCTTACCAAGGAGAAGGGACACAGACACTCCCGGAGAAACCTGTGGGTGTTTTTACAAGAACAGAGGAAGCACAGGCAGCTGCCGTGGATAGAAGGCAGGATTTAAGGGGAAAAATAACCCTGCTTGCTTCATTCATAACCATTTCTACCCAAGCAGAACTTGGCAAGAACATAACATGGGAACAACTATAACCCATTTCCCCTCTAATGAGATAAAAATGAAGACTGAGAGGCAAGAACAGGCGGGTGACGAGGTTATCGGTGTTCCCCAGCAGGATGTCTGTCAGCCTTTCCGGACAGAATTCAAACTCCCTGGCATTTCCTTCTGTAACTCATTCAGAGCTGCTGCTACTCCCGAACTTGTCACAGAGCCCAGTCCCCTTGGATCGGCTCTCAGAGCATCTGTGGCAGCCCTGTCCAGCTAATCTGTGCCTGCTCCCTGTCCCGGTTCTTCCACGGCAGAAAGCAGCACAGCGCACCCAAAAAACCTGTCACGCGCCAGGAAAAATCACAGTGGCCTGAATCTGATTCTGGCAGGTTTGAGACTGTTTTACTTGTGAGAGCAAAAGTCATAAAAATGAAGCCAAGGACAGGGATGCACAGCCCAGGGCAGCTGGAGGGACAAATGCACGGACAGACACTATGCAATTTCACAGCCATCACTGCTACACCTGCCAGAGCTCAACCCCCTCAGCTCTTTCTCTGCTCTGATAATCACACATTGAAATGGGGCCATGCCCAGCTCCCCATCCCAATGCCCCTTCTCAGCAGAGAGGAGGTTCCCCCATGCCAACATCCTTGGCAAGGCAGGCAGGGGTGGCAAGCAGACGGTGCATCTTTGTGCCCAAAGTCCCCCGTGTCCCACTTTTTTTATTTCACCCATCAGTCACTGGCAGCAGAAGTGTGGTAGGAAAAGCCGTGCCTGGTTCACGGGTACAGAGCCCAGGAGGTGCCCTAGGACCCACACACTGCAGAGCGATGCTCCAGGGGTTGCACATCTGGAGAGAAGTGTTCCCACAGTCGTCTAGCACTTGTTCCCTGCACAGAGAGGGTGGGGGGCACGGCCGGGGATGGAGGCAAGCACCCACATGCCTCCTCTATGCTGGAAACCTGTGTGCAAGATGGGAATGGAAGTGGGATTGGCAGCACTGGTGTGAAAGGAGATGCACACTTTATTATCCTGTGGGGGCATGCACAACACTCCAAAAAGTCACAAGAGGAAGCAGTCCCGCGGATGGGGAGAAGACGTCCAGCTAGGGTGCGTTGGATGGGTGCGTTGGATGGACAGATGCTGCGCCAGTGGTGCAGGGGACCGGCAGGTGCACACCAGGGTGGAGATGTGGGGACATCCGTAGCGCATGGTTCCCATGCCCTGCTGGGGAAGGACAGATACATGCAGGAGCCAGCAAGGGCCCCAGGAGCTCCTGCAGGAGCTGGCACCAGAGACTGCGGGCAACTGGGCAATGCTGGGATCCCAGCAGGTTCCCAGCTTTGTGCACTAGGGCAAGGAGTGTTGGGTTCCCACGCGCCGAGGTGCAGGGAAGTGCCCTGTCCCAAGCTAGAGACCAGGGGCTGGGCACCAGGGGAGAGGGGAGGTGGTCCCTGGTGCACGGGGACAGCCTGTGGGGCAGCCTTGGGCTCCGGCTGCTGCAGGGGCCCCCAGCTGCGTGCACAGAGGGGCTGGCTCTGAGGAGGGGTCCCCAGCTGCACGCACAGGGGCTGGTGAATTTGCGGGTCCTCAGTTGCATACATGGGCTCCGGGGATGGACCACGGTTTACCGTGCCAAGGGGCTGGCTCTGGGGGGTGCCGGCTGCGTGCTCGGGCTGTCTTTTGTGGGGGGGGATCCCGGTGAACGTACTCGGGGCTGGTTTTTTGAGTCCTCGGCTGCACGCACAGGGGCTGAACCCAGGGGGGCCCGAACCGGCAGCGCCACTCACGCCTGCGGACGAGGCCGTCGAGGCG